AAACCAGCAGACAAGCCAAGTCACGTAGAGGCCCAACTCCCCGTCCTCGAATACCTCAGAAACGCAGAAGTCTACAGCAGACAAAAACGCAACCAAGAACGCCAGACAAACATCGCGAGCAACAACCGAAAGACAATACCGGGACGCTCCAGCACCAGCTGGCGGCGAGGACACCGGAGCCTAAGCTGCAGACCGTGGAAACCCAAGCCTTCACCCGCCAACCCCAAACCCAACAAATCGCAAGTAAAACACCCTAGCAAAAGCAAGGCAGAGCAAAGCCAAGCGGCTGGAAGCGGAAGCTCCTCCTCGTCGTCGTCCTCGTTAGATCCAGCAACAAACAACACATACACACATGGGCAAGAAGAAGCACGCACGCTCGAAGCCGGCGCACAAGCCAAGTCACGTAAAGTGCCAGCTCCCAAGCGTCGAAGACCTCAGAAACGCAGAAGTCCAGAGCAAACAAAAACGCAACCAAGAGGCCAGACAAACAGCGCGAGCAACAACTGAAAGACAATGCCGGGACGCTGGAGGCGGATACGCCGGGGCCTAAGCTGCAGACCGCGGAAACCCAAGCCTTCACCCGCCAACCCCAAACCCAACACAACGCAAGTAAAACAGCCTAGCAAAAGCAAAGCAGGGCAAAGCCAAGCGGCTGGAAGTGGCGGCTCATCCTCAGTCCAAAACAAGCAGTCAAAACAAAAAGGCGAGGGGAACAGGAAACAAAGAGCCCCAACCCCGAGTGAAGCCAAGCCACCAGCTCGCACTCCTCTTCGGATGGGGTGGCAGGGGCCTAAGCTGCAGACCTAGGAAACCCAAGCCTCCACCCCTACGAACCGCAAGTTGGACAGCCTAGCAAAAACAAAAGGTAAGTCAACGCCAAGTTGCTGGAAAAGGCGCAATCTCCTCAATCAAGGACAAGCAGTGAAAACAAAACACAATGAAAACAGAAAACCAAAAGCCCCAACCCCAAGTAAAAGCCAAGTCGCCATTTCATCCACCTGAGCGGCCACCATGCAAGAACACGAAAGAGGGGCAACGACCCCCTAAACAACGTCAAGGCGCTCCCGTGTGGTCCACAGGAGTGGCGCCGACCTCGCGCACCTAAGCTGGAAAGCTCTAAAACCGAAGGCCTTAACCCGCAGCCCTGAGCCCAAAAGAACAAAAGCGAAGCACCCAAGCCCGAAGAAGAAGAACCGAAGCCAAGCGGCCGAGGAGGCATCCGTGTCCTCAGTCCGAAACAAGCAACTGACAGAAAAGAAAAGAGACAAAAAACAAAACCACTCAACACCAAGGCTCGGAGCTGTCGCCGCTACTGGAGCTTTCCACAGCTCCGACCTGCAGAAACCCCGCATGAAACCACAGAACCCAAGAAAGTCAAGGGACACAGAGAAACCCACGCACGACGAAAGCCCAAACCACCAAACCAAGCGGCCACAGTCACAAAGAGCATCATGATCCACCAAGGCGACATCGTCCTGCAGAAAGAGAAGGGAAAATCAATCGCACGAAATGGAGCTAGAGCCAAATAAGCTGCTAAACCAGACTCCTAAATCAGGAGGGAAGAATCGCAAAGAAGGCAGGAATGCTGTGAGCCAAAAGCGCTCCGAGGATTCATAGCTTCGGGACACCAATCGGTCATAAATCAAGTTGAGAAGATCAGAAACAAGCGCAACCCATACCAAGGCCCCAGCCAGCGTCTTTCTCCGCGTCCTTGCCGCACACTGCCCACGTCCAGCCTGGGCCGACGAAAGCTAGCAACACCCTTAACCCTAAAAAGCCCTATAAGCCCTATAAGCCCCAACCCCAAACGCCCTATAAACCCTATAGCCCCCATAACCTCCATAACCCCTATTCGCCCTATAAGCCCTATAAACCCTATAAACCCTAAACCCTAAAGCCCTACAAACCCTGAGATGCTCAGAAGCCCTCAGAGGCCCAATTAACCCTATAACCCCAACAAACCCAAGAACCCAAAAAACCCTATAAGCCCAATAAACCCTATAAACCCTACAAACCGGGAGAGGCTCAGAGGCCCTAAACCCCTAAACCCTAAACCCTAAACCCAATAAGCCCTAAACCCTAAACCCCTAAACCGTAAACCCAATAAGCCCTAAATCCTAAAACCCTAAACCCCTAAACCCAAAACCCAAAACCCAAGACCCAAAACCCTAAACCAATAAACCCTATAAACCCTAAGAACCCAAAAAAAACCGTATAAACCTAAAACCCCGAAGCCCTATAAACCCGGAGATGCTCAGAGGCCCTCAGATCCGCAGGGCCACAGCGGCGACCCGCGGCCAGGGCTCGGGGCCCGGCGCCTGCGGTTTTTTTGGAGATTTTCTTGGTTGTTTAAAGGGTTTAGGGTTTAGGGTTTAGGGTTTAGGGTTTAGGGTTTGGGGTTTAGGGTTTGGGATTTAGGGTTGTGGGTTCAGGGTTTAGGGTTTAGGGTCTAGGGTTCAGGGTTTGAGGGTTCAGGGTTTGAGGATTTAGGGTTTGGGGATTTGAGGGTTTAGGGGCCTGCGGCAGCCAGGAGCCCGAGAACTCGGAAGCCTCGGCGATCACCACGGCCTGGGATCTAGGGCTTTGGGTTTGGGGTTTAGGGTTTAGGGTTTAGGGTTTAGGGTTTAGGGTTTAGGGCTTAGGGTTTGGGGTTTCTAGGGTTTCTAGGGTTTCTGGAGTTTCTAGGGCTTCTAGGCTTGAGGGCTTTAGGGCTTTAGGTTTAGAGGTTCATAGGGTTTAGGGTTTAATAGATAGGTTTTGGGTATCGGGTTTAGGTTTTAGGGTTTAAGAGGTTTTGTGCATCTAGGGTTTAATAGGTTTCGTGTCAAGTTGAGACAGGGTTTAG